TTCTCTAGTGATTTTGCTTCCTTTTCTATGTCACCTGCACAATCAGGCAACAACAGAAATTTCACTCAAAGAGCGAATTTTGAACCCAGAAAGAGTGGCACTGGTGTTTCTTGCACATATGCAAGAAACCTGGACATACAGTGGAAAAATGTTATAGACTTCATGGGTTTCCCCCTGAATTCAAGTTTATAAAGAGCAAGAAGTTTGCATCACGTGTCAAAGGTGACATACCTTATCCTTAATCATCCTCTACTTTCAACCAGCTTCCACGGAATTCTTCTCCAAATCATGGTTTTACTAAGAAACAATATCAGCACCTCCTGACTCTATTCCAACAAGTTCAAGTCTCTCCTGGTTCTATTTCCAACATTCCTCCTGCTGAGGACTCTGGTTTTGCTCACTTTGCAGGTGCTACGAGAGAAACGACTACAATTTACCCATAGCCTCAAGATGTCATTTTTTGTTGTGCCCTTATTTACTTTTCTTCGTCGAATATATATCAAATCTTTAGATAGAAACTAATATAACAATAGTGATCATTTGCGGAAAAAGGAAGAAGAAAGAAGAAAAAGAAGAAGAAGATCAGCTGAGAAATGTTGGACATTTAGTAATTCATTAAATTGGTTCGGTTTTGATTTTAATAATTTGGTAGTGTGGTAATTCAAATTGGATTCAGTTTTGTATTTAAAAATATTGAACAAAATCGAATTTATATATTATATAATAATTTAATTAGATTATTATTTCAAATTTTATATATATGCAAGTGCACAGATAGCCATTCTCATATATGTTATTTAGAGATTAACCAATACTTATTTTGTCCAAAAATTTAAAACAAAAAAATCTTAACTTTGAGACAATTCACTATATTTGTGTCCTGAAAATTTGAACTGAAAAACTGAAATTCAAGATGCACTGACTAATTTTTAAATAGTATCTCTTTAAAGTGGCTATCTAGTGCCATATTATTGGAAAAATGACATTGTATAGCCGCTCTCAAAATAATAGTCTCT